AGCTATACCCTGGAATTTAACACAAACACCAGGAAAGGTTAAGGAATTTTCTTTATTTTTTACAAATTAAGACTATGTAGATTTCATATTTTTCTGAATCAAAAACACCTTTGTCTTCACAGTATGAGTTAGAGAATGCAGCCTGAGCTGAAAACCAAAGAACTAGAAAAGAAAGTGGTAATTTCATGATAACTGTATTAAAAACTGGTTAGGCATTTTCTTTAAAAGTAGGGGTTTTTAATATCTTGTCATTCTTGGCACTGTTTCTAAAGAAAAAACTCCTTTATCCCAAGCAAAAAAGCACAAGAGGTGGAGTTTGGCTTCAAGAAATGTAGCTCAAATTCTCAGGCAGAGAATCACCAAATTTATGGAGAGTTGCTAATGGGGGTTTAACAGGAAGAAATCCCTTTAGTAAGTTCTCAAGCCAGAGGCTAGAGGCAGAAGCTAAATCTGAGGGTAGCATCCTCCATGGAAGTGGGCCATCCGGGTGACATGCCACTCCAGGAACAGTCAGCCTGGGGACAGTTTCATAAGATGGCAAAATGATGTGGTGCCTTGTGAACATGCAGCCACTGTGTCAAACTGCACTGGCTGTAAACAGGGAGAGCCAAAAATGCTGTCCTGCTGGTAATGAACTTTCAATGGCTCAGTCCCCTTCCACTAAAGCCCTGTGAGTAGCACAGAACTGCAACCACTCCAGACTCTGCCCTTTAGGGCCAGCTGTCTGTGGCAGCCCACAGGGAAGGAGCTGGTGATCCCCTTAGGGCTGCCCCGTCAAACTACAAAGCTGCAGGGAATTGGGGCACACACTGGTTTGGTCACCTTGGCTCCTTCTGGAAAGCTGGAGATTTCTGGAAACAGGCGAGCAAACCAAAACCTAAAGTGCATTAGTAAAATGATCATTTATCTACTGCCCCCAAATCTCTGGCCTGACACTACCTATTAGTATCCAGGTGGGGATAGACAAAAATACACCAAAGAACTGTTATGAATGCTATTCCCCAAATCATTACAGCCCTGTTCTGTTGATCTGAACAAGGAACTACTTGGTTGGGGAGGAGATTTTGCTTCCCTCTGCCCCAAATAGGTCCTCATCTAGGTTTATCTGGCAGGATTAGGAAGCAAAACATCCACCAGGAGCAGCTCTTCACTCCTTAGTAGGGTTGATAGTGTACATACAGCAAGCCCAAGTTAACAATGGGACCAGGAACTTCTTTCCAATGGAAAACACACTGCCCAGTCCCATAGGAACTGTGCATAAACCAAACAAAGCTGAGGAAGGAAGGGCCGAAATGGCACTATCCAACAGTTCAGGTCCACTTGGTGAAGCTTAGGGGAAAGCAGACTTATGTAGTTATTTAGCGCTCTCTGCTGGTCCCACTCCTCATCACAGCACACCAGCTGCCTGAGCAGAGGAAGAGGCTATGGATGGGACTGACAGAAAAGGGAGTGAGAAGAACCCCAGGAAGAGGAAGCCTGGGAAGCCAAACTCCAAACTATATTCTGCTAATCAGTTTTTTGATCAAAAAATTCAAAATAGAGAAAACCACAAGTACAAAAGCTTTTCTGATGCTTTTCATTATCACAGAACACGCCACCTGTAATGTGTGCAAAGAAGAAATGAGGGGTGAAGGGTGAGGGCGTCAAATTGGGAAAGGCTAGGTGGTCATTTCATTTCTTCTCTTTCTTCTTATCCTAGAAATGGAGAAAAATCACCCGATTAATGTTTGACATTTGACAGACAAGCTAAAATTTTTAAGTGAGGCTTTGGTTAGGGAATGAAAGGGATCCAAATAATAAAAAGGAATGAAAAATGATCCCTTAGCTCAGCAAGAACTATACCTTACCCATCTTCTACCGTGGTCCCAAAGAATGCTGATACACTTCATCAAAACAAAGACAAAGCCCAAATAGTTGTCTCCTCGGTGCCCCCCCACCCCCAGCCTGACTGCTCATGGCTACTCATAGCCACCACAGCTCAACTCTCAAGCAGTGAAGAATACAGAATACCACTTTATCCTAAAAGAATAAATCTCAAGGCCAAGACCACCAACTTGTCTATAATGCTTGGGAGATGGCCTATCCTGAAAGGTGAGCATGAGTCCTCAGCACAAACTGACATTCAAAAACAATCTAGTTCAGGGCAGTGCCTGTGGCTCATTGAATAGGACGCCAGCCCCATATACCATACCTGGCCCCAGCCAAACTCCAACAACAACAACAAAAAAATAGCTAGGCATTGTGGCAGGCACCTGTATTCCCAGCTACTCGGGAGGCTAAGGCAAGAGAATCGCCTAAGCCCAAGAGCTGGAAGTTGCTGTGAGCTGTGATGCCACAGCACTCTACAAAGAGTGACAACAATGAAACTCTGTCTCTAAAATAATAATAATAATGGAATACTTCACTCAATCTCAGGTGGAAACTCAATGCACAGAAAGAATAAAAGATGAGCTGCTTTCAGTGAAACTGGGGTGCCTGACTGGTGCTTGGTCCCATTGTGGCACAGCCCAGACAGAGAACAAGCAATCCCATCTAGTCACCTGCTTCCCTATCACTACACTGGTTCCATAATAAGGTCTGTAAAGAAAAGATTGTGGCCTGAGCCCTGTGACTCATGCCTGTAATCCCAGCACTGGAAGTTCCAAGGCAGGTGGATCGCTTGAGCTCTGGAGTTCAAGACCAGCTCAACCAAGAGTAAGACCCCATCTCTACTAAAAATAGAAAAACCAGGCTTGGTGCCTATAGCTCAGTGGTTATGGCGCTGGCCACATAACACTGGGGCCAGCAGATTCAAACCCAGCCCAGGCCTGCCAAACAAGGACAACTACAGCAAAAAAATAGCTGGGTGTTGTGGCAGGTGCTTGTAGCCCCAGCTACTTGGAGGCTAAGGCAATAGAATCGCTTAAGCCTTAGAGTTTGAGGTTGCTGTGAGCTGTGATACCACTGTACTCTACTGAGGGTGACATAGTAAGACTCTGTCTCAAATAAAAAACAAAAAGAAAAACCAGCCAGGCATGGTGATTCACACCTATAATCCCAGCTACTTAGGAGTATGGCTTGAGCACACAGGATACCATACCATTCTAGTCATCCCAGGCAACAGAGGGAAACTCTGTTGGTTAAAAAAAAAGAAAAACTTAAAAAAAGAAAAGAAAAAACTTATAGTTTCATGTTTCCCCACTGCTGGATGAGACTATGTTTGATATTCATTAACCCTACAAAGAACATTTCTTTGGAAAAAAAATTAAGATTAACATATATTTTGTCTACTTCTGCAATTTATAAAAGCTGGCTGCCAGTATTATACAGCATCCCCTATAATATCTTTTTCTGAATCATAAATATCTTTATAGCATTTAAATTCTTCTAGGAGATTGTTTCTCACTGCCACTGAAGCTCTTTTGCCTTTACTGGTTAAAAAAACAAGATTGTTTTGACTTCTTTTTCTCCATCAGCAGAAGACTTCTGGTTTACCTCTTTCTACTCAGTGGCTGGCCTTACAGTACCAACGACCTGCTCAGGGTGAGACTGAGTTTTCAAATATGAATAAACACAGATGACAAGCTCAGGAGCCACCCTCTCATTTCGGATTGTAGGCTGACTAACCTTCTCATTCATAGCCAGGATCACCATGAGTTTTCTGAAGAGAGTAATGAAATCTAAAAAGAGATCAACGCAGTGCCTGAAAGAAAAGAACCAGGTTAGGATCTGTACTTCCCACTATGTTTTATCTGTAAGCCCACAAAGACGCAAGACACAAACCCCACCTCCACCCTCAAGAGCCAGCTTCTCAATACTCCACCCCCAACTAAGGAAGTAAAACTCTGTCTGAGATCAGTGAGCTGAAATCACGTAGCACAGAGGAGAGAGAGACTGGGCTTTACATGTTGCAGAGGGTCAAGTCTGAACCCTGAACTACCAAGAATTAGTTTTAAGATTTTTGAGAGGATTACTACACTTAGAAAAATGTGTATCTCCTTCTCATTGTTAAAAGTAGAAAAAATCTAGAAGCAGAGTTGGGCATGGTGGCTCACACCTGTAATGCCAGCACTCTAGAAGGCTGAGGTGGGTGGATCTCTTGAGCTCAAAAGTTCAAGACCCTTCTGAGCAAGAGTGAGACCTTGTCTCTACTGAAAATGGAAAAATTAGCCGGGTGTTGTAGTAGGCACCTGTAATTACTCCCAGCTACAAGGGAGGCTGAGGCAAGAGGACTGCTCAAGCCCAAAAGTTTGAAGTTGCTGTGAGCTATGATGTCAAAGC